CTTCTCCACACCCTCTCCAGCATTTATTGTTTGTAGATTTTTTGATGATGGCCATTCTGACTGTTGTGAGGTAATACCTCTTTGCAGTTTTGATTTGCATTTCTCAAATGATTAGTGATGTTGAACATTCTTTCATGTGTTTGCTGGCAATCTGTATATCTTCTTTGGAGAAATGTCTATTTAGGTCTCCTGCTCATTTTTGGATTGGGTTGTTTGTTTTTTTGATACTGAGCTGCATGCATGAACTGCTTGTAAATTTTGGAGATTAATCCTTTGTCAGTTGCTTCGTTTGCAAATATTTTCTCCCATTCTGAGGGTTGTCTTTTTGTCTTCTTTATGGTTTCCTTTGCTGTGCAAAAGCTTTGAAGTTTCATTAGGTCCCATTTGTTTATTTTTGTCTTCATTTCCATTCCTCTAAGAGGTGGGTCAAAAAGGATCTTGCTGTGATTTATATCACAGAGTGTTCTGCCTATGTTTTCCTCTAAGAATTTTATACTGTCTGGCCTTACATTTAGGTCTTTAACCCATTTTGAGTTTGTTTTTGCATATGGTGTTAGGGAGTGTTCTAATTTCATTCTTTTACATGTAGCTGTCCAGTTTTCCCAACAGCACTTATTGAAGAGGGTGTCTTTTCTCCACTGTATATCCTTGCCTCCTGTATCAGAAATAAGGTGACCATATGTGTGTGGGTTTATCTCTGGGTTTTCTCTCCTGTTCCATTGATCTATATGTCTGTTTTTGTGCCAGTACCATACTGTCTTGATTACTGTAGCTTTGTAGTATAGTCTGAAGTCTAGAGCCTGATTCCTCCAGCTCTGTTTTTCTTTCTCAAGATTGTCAAGCATATTATTTAATCTTTCCAGGCCTTGGTCTGTCTTTCAGACAGGGATTGTAACAGCTCCAACCAATAACTACTCTATTGCTAAGAGAAGCCTGTGTTTTGTTTTGTTCATTTTCTTTGGAACCATGTGCTTCTCAGGAAACTGGAACCTTCTCTAATTCCTGGGTAAAAATGCTGATAATTCTAAGCCAATCACTTTGGTCTCATTCCTCTTGGCCAACTGATTGGCTTGAGCATGGCATATGATTCAATTTTGGCCAAAGAAATGTGAGGAGAGGTCTACAGGACACCTGGAAAGGTTTTCCTCTCTCTAAAAAGGGGGCACAGGATAGGGACCGTATATCTGGACACTGCCATCTGCATGTTAATCTCAGCACTTGGTCAGCCTAAGAGGAATTAACATACTGTAAATGATAGAGAAGACATAAAAAACTGGGCCCTGGATGATCTCATTAGTCTGTTGAATTTACCAACCCTGGAATGACCCTTCCTCTAGACCTCTTCTTAGGTATGAAACACATTTTTCTTATTCGGGGAATACAGATTACAGACCACCCAGGAAATTATATAAACAACCAATTTGTTAACTAACAAGGTTAAGACTACATTTCATTGCGAGTTGGATTTTTTGTTATTAGCAGCTAAAAGCACTCTAGCTGATGGTAAGCAAGCCAACTTAAGTATCTAGGGGAAAACCATTTTGGAGAGACTTGGATAGCAAGTATCAAGGCTCAGGAGTAGGAGCCTGTCTGTCATATTTAAGGAGCAAGGAGCTCAGTGTGGTCAGATCAAAATTAGAGAGAAAATCAGGGAGCTAATGGAGGCCAGATTATAGAGGGCCCTGTAAGGACTTTGGCTTGAATGCAGACAGAGGAGGAGCAAATTGATGGTTTTGAGCATCAATGACATGATCTGACTTTGTTTTATCTGGGCCACTCCAGCTGCTGTGTTGAGAAGAGGTAGTGGAGGAACAAAGGCTAAGACACGAAGACCAATGAAAGAGGTGAAATATGATATTGACTGGGATCAGGGTAGCAGCAGAAGTGGCTGGATTCTGGACGTTTTTGAAGGTGGGAACAACAGAATTTGTTGTCAGACTGATTTCTCTAAGGGCCTGACACACTGTAGGTGTTTTATAAACATCTGCTGAAAGAATAAGTAAATGACTCTGGAGTTCATGAGCTTAACCACTGCATTATATATTTCCTTTAGTAACAACTTCAGTGGAATTGCTGGATTCTCAGTGGAGATGCACAGGAGTATTTGAATTTATTACCACCTGTTCGGTCTGCTAATCTTCAGCATGAATTAATCACTGCAGATTAGCAGACTGAACAGGTGATATAAAACCCTAAGAACTGGGTTTGAGCTTTGACTTTTGATAAGTAGAAATTGTGATTTGGAGTTAAGTTACCCAATTTCTCTGGCTTTTATCATCTCTAAGATACAGATCATGATTATTTTCATAAGGCTTTGGAGAAGCTGCAAATGCATATATGGGAAAAATGCATTACAAATTATAAAGTATTCTGCAAATCTCAGCTTTTGTTAAGGACTGGCCCTCTGTAAGAATATAGGCTTCCTCCTTGACTCCAAAATTACTTGTTCTTTCTTTTCAAAACATCATGTATCCACTAGTGCCCTTGTTATACAATGGTATGAGAGCTGGGTAGGAGAAAGTTAATTTCAATATTTTATAATAATTATTTCACTATTAAAAATTTTCTTAGCTTGTTCTCTTCTGGATCAAATCACAGTGATTCTTTAAACTTTGCATCATGTTCTAGTTTCTAGTACTTTAAAGCTTCCCTTCAAGGATGAGAAGCATGAATAGGTAACACCCTGTCACATGTAATTTGCCTTGTTATTTTTCTAACAGAATCTCAGGTCTATGACAGCTTTTGATTTCATCTACCTAGCTACAATCCTAAATTAGTTTGAATATGACTGAGTCAAATGATTGTAGTTATTCCCATGTAAAGTCTTGAGTTTCTTACATCTTATTCTTTAATAGAAAAAGTTCCAAACCTCAGAGTTGAAATACGATGATACTTGTCTTGGATCATCTCTGCCTTTGTCACTTTTCTGTGCAGATTTAAGAAAACCAGGTGGTAATGCAGGACCTATTATAGGCCTGAAAAATAAAATGTACCTTTATCATTCTCCCTGACTTTAAAAAGTCAGCTTTCAGAATAAAAGCTCACACAAATAATAAAAGGCCAGATAATAACAAATGTTGAAAATGAGAATCTTATTCAACATATTATTTTTACTCTATAACCTAGTATTTTTTCACCGAGTATCATAAAAATAAACATCTAATTTTTGGTATTTTAACTTTCTATTTGTTAGTCAACGATTAGATGCTAAACCAGTAATTCTCAATCTTTGTGGCAATGGTGTATACCCACTTCCTAAAAGAACTATGTTAAATAAAAATAATAACTTAAAAAAAAAAAGTCCTTATTATGTGGACTTTTATGTGGACTAAAGCCTGTGAAGATCTTTTTCATTTTGTGCCTTGGCTTTCAGTTTTGATATTCACCATCCACTGAAAAATACCTTAGTGGCATTATATTTATAGTCAGAACTACTTAAGTATAAATTGGGTTCTAAGGACATACGTAGCAAGTGCATACAACAGATGTTAGTGATTTATGGTTATGTGTGCCGAGGCAGTATAAAAACCTAAACACCATTCTAACAATCCAATAATGATGTGGAAGCATATAAGAAGGAAAAAAGTTCATTTAAGACCTGTATATAAAGGAAAAGGTAGTATGCTAACCACATTTCAACCAGTGTACTTTTCTGTTTCCTTCAAAAAACCCTGGTTGGTATAAGTCACTCCATTTTCTATCTGAGCAAAATAACACCCAAGGACAACATGAACTAGTAGGTGGCAGAGCTGGAGGTTGAACCCTGGTCTATCGGATGCCAAAGTTCATTTTCTTTCTAGCTGCCCTACTGCCACATTCTGAGGGAACAGACATCCATTCAAAAGAGAAAACTGCCTAAATTCTAGGCCTTAAAAAGAAAAAGTCCTACTTTATGTATGGAAAAAACAAAAGAAGAACGATATTTTCTACTCTCTTTCATACTGTTAATTTTCTCCATTCTTTGTTTTTTTCCAGAGATGTCCCTGTGCAAGTGTTACCAACCAAGATGGCACTGATGCCCTAAGCTGAATTTTCCAGATTGCACTATGTTCAATTAGAGTCTTACAGACAGGTTTCCCGGTAGGACAAAAATAGTACTAGAGTCACAAGGTCTGGGGTCTGATCCTGGCCACTTAATTACCTCTTGCCTTGGTTCATAAAACTGCTATGAACCAAAACAATTTTGCAAATGAAAAATGCGGAAGTGTGGCATTGTTAGATCAAATTAGTTATCATTTATAAAGTATAAGGAAGTGCTGTATGGGTTTTTTTCTGAGTACAGTTTTTAGCAGATCTCCAAATGCAATTACAGCTCAATTCTCTGGCTTCAGGGAATTTGTGAGGATAAAACCACTAACACATAAAATCTTAAAATATAGTAAAGGAACATAACCACGGCACATGCTGTGGACGTGTATGAGGTTTTGCCTCCAATATATGCTTCCACCTGTTTATTTCAAACATATATTTTACTATTGTCAAAATAGAAAGAAATCGCTATGTATCTAATAATCTATTTTCTTGAAAGGAATGTTATTTCCCAGCAGTCAGCAAATTTCCCATAAAAACCCAGACAGGAAATTTTAGGCTCTAAGGGCCACATTTGGTCTTTGTTGCATATTCATCTTTGTATTTTAATGACCCCCTAAAGATCATTCTTAGCTCGGGGCCATACAAAAACAGGCAGTGGACTGCCTATTCCTCTTATTTCTTCTTTCTTTTCTTCAATAAGCATCCCTTTACTTGCTGACGCCATTACAGAAACTGACTACATTCGCAACAAAAAGTGTTTTTTGAGTTGAAGTCAGAGGCAGTTACTCCCCAAAAGTTATATAAAAATTAGAAGCTGACAAGTGTGATTATAACTTCTGAATATAAAATGTACAACAGCCTTTTCTACTTGTTCTTGCATACTGGGATACAATGTTATGAATTATAAACAATATGGTGTGCAATTTCATATTCAGCAGTTAAATATTTTATAATTCCGGGAAGATAGGAATCAGTATTTACTATCTGTTTATTCTGTGCCAGGCACTATATAAGAATCACACATGTATATATATGCATATAAATATGAAATCTCAATCACCACGACAATTCTGTAAGGTACGTGTTGCTATCTTATTCCACAGATGACAAATTTGAGGTTCAGTGAAGTTAACTGTGTAACTTGGTACTTAGGGATTTGTCTATTCTTTCAATAAATAATTAAGAAGACGTCTGAATTAGAAGTCAAACACCAGGATTCCAGCCCCAGGTGTACCACTGACTATGTGTGCAACCTTACTTGTTTAAAAAAAAAATAGGGAAGAAGGGTCATGTTTCACCCAGCCTGCCACAGAACGCTCTTGTGAGTATCAAATAAGAGATGTGGAAGTTTTTTATGAATTATAAAAGTGTCATAAACGTGTAAATAATTATTTTCCTTATATAAATTTTAAAATTAGTTATTTTTACTTCAAATTTATTTCAAATGTTATATAAACACATATGTTAAAAAACAATTTCAGACAACTCTTTAATGAATTAATGGACACTAGAAAAGACTGGCAGGAAGTAGTACACATTACCACCTTGGAGGAGAATCATCCTGCTTTTTAAATCCAGGAGGAAGGGCTGGTCCAAAAAACCCTTCATCACCATCATCATCATCGTCATCCTGATTTCTCCTCTGTTTTCTGAAAACACAGTAGTGTAATTTTATGCATGTATGTCAAAATTTTCTTCATAGAGAAATTTCCATTTTTAAAAGAACATTAACTTCAACTAGTTGTACAAACACTGAAACAATAAAATAATCTTGCCAAATAAGAAAAAAAATCTACCACAGATCTTATACTAATCTTTTCTTGAAATTCACTTATGGTCTAAAAATAGAGATTGGTTACTTCTTTACAGCAGTAATATATCAATTTTCTATATTTTCTGTGTTGTTTAAGAGTCCATTCAATGAAGTTTCAAATACTCTACTTGCTAGATATTTTTGAGCAAAAAGTTTATGGCACTGGTTTTCAAATTCACCTAAGTAAAGGCTTTAAGTTGCTACTTCTGTCTCTTACTCATTAAAATGCTTTAAAAAAGACCTTGCTATCCAATAATAAACAAAGATTTGACTTCTTATTTACATCGACCTGTGGTGAGTAAGGCTAGGTCAGAGGGAATCATTCATTTACTTAAACAAAAAGCACATACTGCATACATAATTTTTTTTTAAAGCATATTCTTTTTTTTGGTTGTGCGGCTTGTGGGATCTTAGTTGCCCAACCAGGGATCGAACCTGTGCCCCCTGCATTGGAAGCACGGAGTCCTAAGCACTGGACCACCAGGGAGTTCCCTGCATACATAATTTTAAAAAGAAGATGTATGGTTTATTTAGAATATTTAATCACTTCAATAATACCTTAGGAAAATTCCTTTATATAAGACTTTTATTGAAATTCTAGATATCTCCAGAGCTATATACTACTAAAATAAATTTCTTTCTGAAAGGCAGTTCATGAGGAAATGCCATATGAAGTAATTTCTTCCTGTGCTATATAAATGCAGGTTATGATATCCCCTTACCAGCTCTCTGTTCTAGCCAGCGTACACCAGATTGGAAGATTGGTTTACCATTTAATGTAATAAGTGACTCACCTTGCAGTTGGACCAGTGTCATCTTCTTCAGATTCCTGATTTCCTTCTTCAGACAAAGAACTACTGTCCTCGTCGCTGTCTGATGACTTTGAACTACTGCTTTTATAATTAGGGGGCAGAGCTGGTCCTGCAACTAAAGAAGATGTCTTGTGTATGTCATAAGTAGCCACAACTGTTTCAATGAACTCCCTAGCTGACATTTCACACTTTCTTTTCTGAAATTCTTAGCACTGGCTGGCTATCATTTATTATGGACTTTAATCTCATTTGTTCCTGTTGTGTACAGTGGGCTTGTCTTTCCAACTCCAGGAAGGCAGAAATCATGTCTTACACAGTGTTAACTACCAGATTCACAAAAGCTTTAACACCCAAACTTATAAATATAGCAATAGAACATAATTTGCCTGACATCTTGCAATTTTTGCATTGGTTGCAATTTTGGTTGGTGCAACTGCCAAAATGGTTTCATAATTTTGTTTTTTCCTTATGGACAGCGTATGGTAGACAATATTTATATCACGGAGCTAACCAAACAACAAATTTGCCATTCCACAGTCTAACATGGTAAAAATCAAAATTATCCATTCTGGTTTCTGACTAAGAATCACCACTTAAAAATACCTTTATTGGTATTACCATACTTCTCAGTTAGCTTTCTGTTTGAGATGATTTTCCAAGCAGAAACAAAAGTAGAGGCACTCTAAATTCTCCTGCTTACTAGTAGAGATTCAGAGAAGAGAATGAGGTCACATTGGGATGCAGATGCCAAGGAAGAGGTAAGGGTGTTCTGTGTCCACTCACCACAGTGAACTGCTTTCACTTCATGACTTAGCGAAATTATAAATTATTGCATGATGTCATTGTATGATGTCACACAGACACAACTGTCTATGTCGATCCTCAGCAGTGATGCTAAAACTCTACTGACATAGTTCCCAAGCCTGGGTGTTTATCAGACTTGCCAAAATATTTTTAAAAAAGAGATTCCTGGGCCCTTGCCCCAGAGATTCTGACTTAGTTGGCCTGGAGTAGGGCCTGGAAATATGATTTTCCAAAGAGCTTCCCAGGTATGCTATTCCTTCAGTATTAATAACAACAAAAACTTAAAAGAGATTTACACACATTTCCCTATTTAATTCTGACTACAACCTTATTAGGAAAGCAGTATTACTTCTAGCTTACAGATGAGGAAACTGAGGCAGAGAGACAGTAACTTGCCCAATTTTACACAACTAAATAGTGGAGCTAGGATATGAACCTCTTAACCGTTATATTAAACAACATTCAACAAAGTCAACATCCATCCATTCAACAAATATTTATTGAGTAAGTACTTCTAGAGAAACAACTTAAAAAAGAAACAAATAAAAAAAGGTGACTGTGAATACGTGGGAGGGTAATTTTAAAGACAGAGGTCAGGGAAGGTTCCCCTGAGAAGACATTTGTAGGGAGACTTAAATGATGACAGTGGTCATGCAACAATCTGAGGGAAGAACATTCTAGATAGAGGAATCACTAGTGTGAAAGTCCTATGGAGAGAACAAGCTTGATGTGCTTGAGGGACAAAAAGGCCTGTGTGGCTAGAGCAAAGTAAGCAAATTGACAAGACAAAACTGGATGGTTCAAAGGGGCCACACTATATGCTTTGGGGCCAGGCTCCAGCTGTGAATTCCAGCTCAGCCACTTCCTAGCTGTGTGATCTGGATATTATTTAACCTTCCTGTGTTAATCTCTTAATCTGTAAAGTGAGGTTAACAGTAGTTCCAATCTCATAGGGCTGTTGTGAAGAATACATATTATACCTGAAAAGCATATAACACTATATCTGGCACACAGCAGGCACTCCATAAATGTGAGCATAGGCTGTGGTAATTGAGTTTGGATTTTAGTTATAACAGGCAGTCACTGCAAGGTTTTGAGTCTGGAGAGATATAATCTGAATTAGCTTTTTTATTAAAACAAAAACGAAAACAAAAAACTCAGCTTGTGGTCAATAGGGAATCAGGAGTAGGGGAGATGAGTTAGAAAGCTGATATGAAATGGTTTGATTTGCAACTGCTTTGAAGAAGCAGGATTTGCTAATGGTGTGGATGTGAGAAGTGAGAGCCAAAAAGGAATTGAGGATGTCTTGGTTTCTGGCCTGATTAGCTAGCCAGGAGGATGGTAATGCTATTCTCTAATATGGAGAAGACAAGGAGGGAAGCATGTCTGGGGGAAGAGCTAAGAGCTTGTTTTTCACACCTTCAGTTTAACATGCCCATTAGAAATTTCAGTGGTATGATCAGTGGTACTTGGGTATATTAATATAAAACTCAGGGGAGAAAGCAGGCTCAGTGTTGGAACCACTGGTCTATTTCTGAAATTTTTTCCCTATTGCTCCTTGTTGTATTACCATAGAACAAGTACTCAATACACAACAAATTGACTTCAAAAATCCGAACTTTGACCTTAAAAAACTGGATGCATTTTTCTACATTCTCCCATGTATCATTAAATAAAGGAAGGAATTATAGAAAATAAATGCTAAACTGGGGCTTCCCTGGTGGCGCAGTGGTTAAGAATCTGCCTGCCAATGTAGGGGACACGGGTTCGAGTCCTGGTCCGGGAAGATCCCACATGCCGCGGAGCAACTAAGCCCATGTGCCACAACTACTGAACCTGCGCTCTAGAGCCCGTGCGTCACAACTGCTGAGCCTGTGCTCTGGAGCCCACATGCCTAGAGCCCATGCTCCTCAACAAGAGAGGCCACAGCAATGAGAGGCCTGCGCACCGCAGCGAAGAGCAGCCCCCGCTCGCCGCACTAGAGAAAGCCCACGCCCAGCGACGAAGACCCGAAGCAGACAAAAATAAATAAATTTATATATTTTTTAAAAAGCTAAACTGGTAGGCATGCCTAGAAAAGAACAATCAATGAGCAAAAAGAGGAAAACAATAAGAATTAAAAGATAAAATTCATATCTCCAACTGCTGTTTAAGACTGAAGAACAGTTATGTCTTCGTTTGTAAATGTTCCCCAACTATAAGTGGAGATTATACCTGACTTCTGACCGTAATGAATAACGCCTTTACTGATTTCTGGTTTATCTTTGTATGTACTACTAATTCCTAGAGAAAGCACCTTTTAGAATATAGCAAGGGAGCATACAACCTTCCATAAATATCCCTTTCTTCAAAATTCTAGGTGGTTATAGTTTAACATGAAAGAGCCTAGGGGATTACATTTCACTCTTGGCTCTCTCCATCTTCCTCTTGCTCCTAAGTATTAAAGAGAGAAGTATTTTTTCCTTTTTAGCTCCTTTCTTTTCTTTTTTTTTTCTTTTTTTTTTTGCTGCGTTGGTGTCTTTGTTGCTGCGCGCGGGCTTTTCTCTAGTTGTGGCGAGCGGGGGCTACTCCTCGTTGCAGTGGCTTCTCTTGTTGCGGAGTACGGGCTCTAGGCATGCAGGCTTAAGCAGTTGTGGCACGTGGGCTCAGCAGTTGTGGCTCACGGGCTCTAGAGCGCAGGCTCAGTCATTGTGGCACACGGGCTTAGTTGCTCCGCGGCACGTGGGATCTTCCCGGACCAGGGCTTGAACCCGTGTCCCCTGCATTGGCAGGCGGACCCTCAACCACTGCACCAACAGGGAAGCCCCCTAGCTTCACTTTTTTTTTTATAGGTATCACTCTTCAGAACTATATAAAATGTCTCAAAAAATTGTTTTAGGCATTTATAATGAACTATTCCATCTCTCTCCTAAAGCAGTGATGCGCATCATTAAGGTAGCTCTTCTACTGCAATGGTAATTTTACAAGTAGATTACAACTTCCATGAAAATAGAGATTATGTCATATATTCCATTATATTTCCCTTGTAATATCTATCACACAGAATTATGCATACAAAAAGAAGTACTAAGTATAAAGCACATTAAATCTCATTATAGATCAGCAATTGATTATAATAGGAAACACTGACTCTGAACCCCAATTAAACAAAACGTTATTCCCTCCAAAGCAGCTCCATTCTTCTCATTAGTAGACTTAAACTGCAAAAAAATTATACTGTTATGTTATATTTTGAATTTCAACAATAAAGATTTGCGGAAATTTGTTTTGCTCTCTTGTTATATACATATTTTTATAATAATCTTGATTTTGCCTGTTGACTGGCAAAGTCTAAAATATTTACTATCTGGTTCAGGAAAAGCTTGCTGATCCTGTGACAGGATTAAGTCATGGAAATGTCAATAAGGAGCATCCAACTGTCTTTTTTTGTGCGTGTGTGTGTGGTATATGGGCCTCTCACTGTTGTGGCCTCTCCTGTTGCAGAGCACAGGCTCCAGACGCGCAGGCTCAGCGGCCATGGCTCACGGGCCCAGCTGCTCCGTGGCATGTGGGATCTTCCCGGACGGGGGCACGAACCCGTGTTCGCTGCATCGGCAGGCGGACTATCAACCACTGCGCCACCAGTGAAGCCCCAACTGTCTTTTGATGGGAGTAGGTAGTGACGTCAGTGGCGCAGTGGTTAAGAATCTGCCTGCCGATGCAGGGGACAAGGGTTCGAGTCTTGGTCCTGGAAGATCCCACATGCCGTGGAGCAACTAAGCCCGTGCGCCACAACTAGTGAGCCTGTGCTCTAGAGCCTGTGCACCACAACTACTGAGCCTGTGCTCTAGAGCCCGTGTGCCGCAAATACAAAACCCGTGTGCCACAACTACTGAAACCCGTGGGCCTAGAGACCATGCTCCGCAACAAGAGAAGTCACTGCAATGAGAAGCCCACGCACCGCAACGAAGAGTAGCCCCCCCGGCTCAGCAACGAGGACCCAACACAGCCAAAAATAAATAAATAAATAAATTAAAAACAAACAAACAAACGTGATGGTTGGGCTGAGGCTAAAAGATGAGATTGAGTTAGCTGGGCAAAGGGAGTGTGGATTGGAGGAAGAGTGGTCCAGGCAGAGGTAAAAGCATCTGCAAAGAATTGAAAGCCTAAGGGCCTGGCACATCTAGAAATGTGTTCAGAGTGGCTGGAACCAAGAGAAGAGAGAAGGAGGGATCACCAGGGGGAAATGTGGCTGTGAGGTCAAACGAGGTCAGGACTGAAAAGGGTGCCTTGAATTTAGCAAAAAGGTGCTGAGACGATTGGTGGGTGGTCTTCATTTATTTCCAGTGAAATTGGTGAGTGGTCTCCGTGGATTGGCAAGAACAGAAGCCAGAATGCAGTGGGTTAAGGAGAAAATGGGGAGGATCCAGAGTTGGTCAGAGAGAAAGAAGAGTAGCTACTGGGGGATGTGGAGTAGTCTTCATGAAGATGGGAACGATTTGAATGTTCTGGTTAAATGCTAAGGGCAAGGAGCGCCCAGGACTAGTGAGGGAAGGGGTTCTGAGTAAAAATGGAAGGATTAGCCTTGGAAGGAGGTAGTTCCCCTCTTGCATTATAATCAAAGGGAAGACAAAAGAGTTGGGCAGAGGTTTGGGAAAGTTTTTAGGTACTGTGCCAGAAAAGTGAGGAAGTTCTCTTAAGATGGCATCTACTTTTTCTGTGAAGTAGATGGAGAGAGAGTGTAAAGAAGAAAGAGAAGGTTTTAAAAAGCCATGGTTGATCATGGGGGAGGAGACCTGCGTGGGGAAACGTCTGAGGATGGCTGGGCGGAACTGTGGACCCAGCCAGGGAGGAGACTATAGTTTTTAGCAGCATTAGCCTGTGGAGGGGTGAGGTCTCTTCTAGCAGCACTTGGAAGCCTGGGTGTGGGCTCATCAGGGGTGAACGACTGGACTGATCCAGGGCTGAGTTTTTGCTAGATGGGTTTAACAGAATACTAAATGGGATAAGGCAGCTGAAAACACTGGCAAGAGAAGGCATGAATGGACGGACCATGGAGGCTAAGTTGAGCAGGGACAGAAGTAATTAAAGGAAATTTAAGGCCAAAACAGACTGAGGCAGAGATCACATGGCTCAATGAGACTAAAAACAAAAATAAAAAATAAAAAAAATGTAATGAGAGTAACTGAGTAAGAATGATGGATGAATAAGGGGTTCTGGCTGAGAATAAGATCTGAATTTAAATTTTCAGAGATGGGGGAATTCTCTGGCGGTCCAGTGGTTAGGACTCCATGAGCTCACTGCCAAGGGCCCGGGTTCAATCCCTGGTCAGGGGACTAAGATCCTATAAGCTGCACAGTATGCCCCCCCCCCCCAAAAAAAAAAAAAAGTTTTCAGAGGTGGAATAGGATCCAGTGTGTGACTGCAAATGTGGCTGGGATGAGTGGTGTGAAGGTTGCCGCAGATGAGGAGAATAAAGTCAGAGTCAAAAGAGCCCAGGCTCCACTCAGCTTACACAAAGCAGTGTCTGGAGTATGCAGACTGGTCTTGAGAAAACATCTGCACCCCCGAGTTTTTAACAGGATCTCAGGGGACATTTCCTAGCACTCAATTTTCCAGAGTATTCAAATAAAATTAAATTGGTCCATCTCAGGCCTGTGTGCTAAATAAAAAGTTTGGTTAACCCCACTTTTCTTCAACCTTAGTTGAATGGAACCTTCCTTGCTAAAATAAAAGCCTAACTTTTTAACAGCTATAGCAGAAACAAGACCTGGAAAGAAACCTCTAGGTGGAAACACGGCCTCTGGGTAGTCAAAGAATGCAAATTAGATTCGGAAATGGAAGAGTTATTCTTCCAGCTTTGCTCTTTGCCAACTTCAGTCAGTCCCAGGCTACAAATTAGTACAAACGTGAAAGGAGATGGATACTCATCACGGAGGAGTCTGAGAAGCATTTATTTGGCAAATACGAGGTGCCTGCTATGTGTTAAGGCTAGAAGACTATAGTGCAATGGTGGAGACAGATATGTCAGCAAGTTATTTGAAAACAGTGTATTAAATATGTGACGTAAATAAGTAGGCAAAAAACCCGTGGGTAAAGAGGAGGGCGTGACAATGCTTGGGAGAGTGTGGAAAGCCTTCCACACTGAGGTGACACTGAAGTTAGGGCTTGAAGGATGAGGTGAGAGTTTGTCAGGTACGTCAAGAAGAGCAGGGCGAGGGCCAAAGAAGCCTAGAGAATTGAAGAACTGCGCAGAAACTCAGATTTGTTTGAGCTCTGAGCCGTGTGTGTCAGGACAGGACGAGAGGCTAGGAAGGCAGGTCGGGGGCTAGGGCGCAGAGCATCTTCTGCAAGAGCCAAGGGCATTCGTTGCACGTTAGAAGGCAAGAAGGCACAGAGGTTCGGAGTACGGGCTTCGCTCTAAGTCGGGCTCCAGCACTTAACTAACTGTATGGTATGCGCAACAGCCTGGGCCTCAGTGTCCCCATTTGCAACACGAAATAATAATCTTTACCTTATACAGTGGCCTAGAGTATTAAATCACTGAATGTGCATTGATCGTTTAGCACAGCGTCCAGCCCATCGAGAACTAAATGCGAATACTTCTTGGTGATAATGATTACCAGGCCAAAGCTCGTTTCTACAGCCCCCACGGCCACGCTTAGGAAGGAAAGTTAGCTCGGGTGGGGCCGCGCCCACTCGCCACTCCTCCGCCCTCCCGGGCCTCGGGACCAGTACTCTGAGAACTGGGCCGGGCCAGAGACGGGGTGGGAGGGCCTGGCGGGCAGGGGACATGCCGCCGCTTACCGGGGCTGGGGTCCCGCTCCTCGTCCTCCGCTGACCCGCTGGCCTTGAAGCCGGGCGGCAGTGCCGGCCCGATAAGATCCCTCGCCATCCGCGGTGGCAGACACTGGTCCCGCACACAGGTGTATCCACGCAGAGTCAAATCCCCGTGAGGTAGCCCGCCATACGCAGAAAATGAGGGAAGCTTTTCCGGCCCCTACCAATGACGTGGCAGCCTGTGATTGGCTGACCTGTCTCATTAGCGATAACGGAAGTGACGCCTAAGGCTTGCTCCACATTCGCACGCTGGCTTCCCTACTAGGTGGATGGCATGGGTGAGCAGGCAAGTGGTTGCGTGACTCGCACGGGGTGGTTTTCAGCTCCCGAGGTGAGCCCCTCTTTGGAGCCTCTGAGGGACGGTGCCTCGCTGCCGGACAACTGGATGTTCTGGGCGATGCTGCCGGCGCCGCCACCACCGCCTTCGTCGCTTCCCGCAGGAGGGTCCGAACCTTCCTCAGACGCGCAGCCCCCCGCGGAGGCCCAGAGCCTCCCCGAGGCGCCTCCCCCCTTTGACGCCCAGATTCTTCCCGGGGCACAGCCCCCTTTCGACGCCCAGTCCCCCCTTGATTCTCAGCGTCAACTCAATGGCCAGCCTTCCTGGAATTTCCAGGCTTCAACATCATGGTACTGGACACAGTCTCCTGGTGTTTTTCCTTGGCATCGGCAGCCCCACAACACTCCGGGTAGGTTGTTACTCCTCTCTGTACCACCCCTTACCTTTCCTTTTCCCTTCTTCCCTCTCCTTTTCCACCCTTGTTGCTCTCTCCCCTTCTGATACTGCCTTGCACTCTTGGAGTCTGGTCATTAATGTCTCACAGTTCGTTCCAGTTATGTTTTTCCTGCCTGTTCATTCAGTTTAACAATTATTTATTGAATTCCAACTATGAACCAGGAAGGGGAGATATAGCAGTGAACAAAACATACAAATATCCTTATTTTGAGCTTAAATCTCCTGGTGTAGGAAGACAGACAATAAACAAAAGAAAGCAGTGTGTATTAGAAGGCAGTGAGTGCTATGGAGAGAGAGCAGAGTGACAGGCAGTGCAGTTTTAAATGTCAGTGTCAGTCGTACGTAAGGTGACATGGGAGCAAAGACTTCAGGGAGGTGAGGGATCAGAGCAGAGCATGTATCTGGGGGATAGCGGTACAGGCAGAGGGACCTGCAAGTGCAAAGACCTGGAGGCAGAAGCTATAGATCAGAATGGAACCCCGTGAGGCAAGAAAGGACTGAGCCTGGGGTGGAGTCATAGGCAATAGAGGAAGAGGGCCTTGTAGATCGTGGGACTTCTACTGTTATGATATGTTTAGTTCAGGGGAGTGGCATGCTTTGATTTATGTTTTCAAAGGGTTAATATGGCTACTGATTGGAAATGACGGAAAGGGAGATGAGTTAAGAAGGTATTGCAGTTAACCTGGTGAGAGATACTGGGGACTTGGACCAAGGTGGAGCTCAGGAGGTGATGAGAAGTAGTTGGATTCTAGATATATCTTGAAGGTAGGGTAGGGTCAGCATAATTTGTTGAGGAATTGGATGTGGGATGGGATGTAAAGAGGAGACGAGAATAACTTAAAGTTTTTTGCCAAGCAAGTGGAAGGATGAGGGAGTAGATTTAGAAAGGAGACCAGGAGTTGAGTTTGGAATATGATTTGTGTCAAGTAGAGATACTGAACTGGCTGTTAGCTATTAGTTTGTACTTTCAGGGGAGGTTTGTGGCTAGAGCTGTAAATCGGGGTGTCATTAGCATAGAGATCATATTTAAAGCCATGCAATTGTTCGCTTAGAACAATTCAATTTACATTAAGTTGAATCCAAATCAGTGTTTACTGTATGCCTAATGCTGGGGATATGAATGTGCCTAAGACAGTCCCAAGCGAGGTGAGATGCGTTCATAAATATAAATCACAATGCAGTGTGACTGGTGATAGAGGCATATAAAAGGAGATTTCAGAGTATGGAGAAAGTTGGGGAAAACTTTTGGAAGAAGTGTATTGGGAGATGTTTAATATTCTGGAAGAGATACTTTTTAGGTGGAAGCAAAGAGGTGTCAGTGCAAGGTGAGTTCTGAAGGTTGCAGTGTTCTCGTGTGACTGAAGCATAGTATGTGGAAGGTACAGGGAAGAGCAGGGTGAAAAAATAAAGTGGGATCTCATCGAAGGACTCTTCGATGAGTCCTGAGTAGCTACTTGCTTCCAGGGTCTTGAGCAGGGTTGTGATGACTGGAGGATTATTTTTGTGGTGTCAGTGTGCAGGGTCTGTTGGAAGAGAGGACTTAGGAACTGGAAGCCAGTCTGGAAGGCTGTCACAGTGATCTGGGTGAAAGATCGAGGTTTCAGAGTTGGGTCATGGCAATAAGAAAGGAAAAATATTTGAGAAGAAATGTATTTCACAAGGGTCTGTTTTCCTGATGTAAAATTGATGCTGAAAGAGCTCCATTCGGCTCCAGCACCGTTTACATTTCTTTTTTCTTTTTGAAAATATTTTTATTTATTTATTTATTTGGCTGCGCTGGGCCTTAGTTGCGGCACATGGGATCTTCATTGCGGCCTGTGGGATCTTTAGTTGCAGCATGTGGGCTCTTAGTTGCAGCACGTGGGATCTAGTTCCCTGACCAGGGATTGAACCCAGGCCCCCTGCATTGGGAGCACAGAGTCAACTACTAGACCACCAGGGAGGTCCCCGGTTTACATTTCTAATGTTTGAAATAACTACAAGGAATTTTACCAGGTTAGCTTGTCCATTCCTTTACTCAGAGGAAAAAGCATCTATGGACATGTAATCTTACCAATATGTATTAATTTGAAAAATGTTTATTTGGTAAACTAGTCTTAATCTTTGTTAATTTGTTTGAATTACTGTTCTGCCTAGAAGTAGTTTACCACTGTTTTTCTCAAGTATTTATGACATTCTGTAGCAAAATTTTAAATAATTGTATAGTTGCAAACATTTCTGGATCTCATTTTGTTTTTCAGTTAAACATTCTTATCTTCCACGAAAACATGATGCAAAGGTCAATGACTTCAACATGTCTCCCAGGAGAAAACAGAAAAAAAGGGTATTTTTTAAGATGTTCTTGGATGTGACACTTTGGTCCCTATGTCACTGTTTCATATCTTGTGTTTCAATCATAACTGTCTCAGTGTTTTGCATTCATTATTGACACAGCAGAGCCTTGCATAAAAGGATCTTTAAGGGTCTTGGCTGTAAGTAAAAACTTCAAGCAAAATCTTTTTGAGAAATAAATGGAGAAATTGTAGAAAAAGAAAACATTTAATCCATTTCAGTATAGTATCAGGAGTAAATATAATGGGGAATTATGATTACAGATAAATGTAAATGTTATTAAACTTCAATGAAGTAAACAAAAGTATAATATATATGTTATACATAATATATATTATATATTTAATTTATTTATTTTACTAGCATATTGGGAGGAGAAGGATGAAAGTAAAAGTTTTTGTTTTTTTTAATGAGGAACAGCCCTTCATTATGTTCAGAAACTGAGTCTTAAAATAGGCTTTTTTTATTCTGACGTAGCTTATAATCTGGTCTTTCAACTTTTAAGATGTGTAAATAATTTTATTAGTTTAGAATAAATTGAGTAAATCTACAGCATGAGATTAGTACCCTTCATTTTGGCATCAAAACTATGTAACTAATATTAACAAAATATTGTGAAAGTATGTTTATTAACATAATCTCAACATTGAACAATTGGGGCCCTATATAGCCTATCATTGTAATAATCATTTTTATTTTATGTTTAAACATAAAAATAGTAAATTGGGAATTTAAAAAAACTAATATTTACCTAAATAGTTCTTTTTTTTTCATTCTGTAGTTAAAATATACACACACGCACGCACGCACTTGTTTTTCCTAAAAGAAGAAATACTGTTTTTACCCTGAATATTTATTTTTAGGTCATTTTGACATATGCTCTATTAAGTTTTAATTAGATTACCAATTTTAAATCTACTCACAATTTATATTAGCTTTACTCAGATTTAAAATTTTTTAACAAGCCTGGCTTTTCCTAATGTATTTGTTAAAAATAAGAACAGAATCATCCCTTCATTAAAAATGTATTCAGAAGTTTTTGCCACCTGCAAGGGTTGTGTGAAAAATCAAAATATGTACTGTACTTTTACTGATAATTAGAATTCTAACCAATAGCCTAATGCCTCTTCATTTTTGTTTGCAGAAAAGAAAGGAACCAGTTTTTCACTATTTTTGTGATACCTGTGATCGTGGTTTTAAAAATCAAGAGAAGTATGATAAACACATGTCCGAACATATGAAAGTAGGTTTTCTTAGTTGTCCTGATATTTATTTAGCAAAATGGGTGTATTTGGTAGAAATTCTGAGCTTCCTTCCCTTAAAAGTTTATAGTTTCCATAGAAATGTTGTTAGATGACTTGCCAAATTGGGACAGTGACTCTGGGATTTGCAGTTTGAGGGTGGGAAGCCCACTGCTTCAGGAAGTGTGAGATGACAGTAAAAGAGAAGGGAGGTCTGGCAGCTGTTTGTATGTATGCGCCTCGTCTGCTCTGTGAGAGGCTGGGCCTCTCCTCCGGTTGCTCCGTGCGCCTTTGTGAGTTCTTTCTCCTTTAAGGCTGCCCTTGACTAACCACACAGTGTAATTTGCCTTGGCCCAGCACCGTCTACGGATGGTTTACACCTTATTAAGTACTTTTAACCAGGATATTTGAGAAGTAAAAAAGTTAAAAGGAAAGTTCTTAGTTTGGAAAAGTTCTCTTTCAGTTTGTAGGCGTGCCCCTTAACTTTAGGAATTAAGAACATTTTACAACCTTGCTGATGTCGTGCATTCACTCAAGTGGAGAAGTAAATGATATGCATTACTGTACTATATACTTAGAGAGTGCAACTCTGTTTGGAGTGATTTTTGTTTTAGGTATTCAGTGATAACACCACATAGATGGGATACTATGTAATATGACCAGAATATGTCTGTATATATAGTAGTAAGGTAAATTTTTTATGGAAAACATTGAGTAGCCTTTCTTAAAAATTCTTACAGTGCCCTGAGGCAGATTGCTCTTTTAGTGCACATGAGAAGATTGTCCAATTCCATTGGAGAAATGTAAGTTCTTTTTTTGTTTGTTTGTTACATGCTCTTTTTATTTCATTGATTTATTATCTTCATAGCTCTCTATGTACATAGCCTACTAATGAGTAACATTCACAGAACACTGTACACAGAACACTGTAAGGCATTTTTACATCTACTATTCAATTTTATCCTTGTAAGCCACTGTGTAAAGTAAATAAATCTTGGCCCTATTTAACAGATTGGTAAAATGATTTGCCCAGGGTCTCAGAACTGACCCCTGCACTTGAATTTCATGATGGCAAATTCTGTTTTACTATACCATGCTGTTTCAAATGGTTTTGTATATTCATTATTTCTCTAGCTAACTTTCTTAACTTTGGTTGGCAGGTAATTCATTTGGGTATTTAATATCAATCAAGTATTCGGTGACATTTACTTTGTAACCAAAATGATATTATGACTTTTTTCTTATCAGTAGTACTAATCTAAAGACAAGAGAAAATTTCTTTCTCCTTTAAAGGAAAAGTCATAATAAGGATAGATAAAGCTTGCTTACTTAGTTTTAAAATTGTCTCTGCTAGTAAATTTACTTTTGGGTACACAGTCTCCATTATCCCCCATAATACTTGAGATTTAGTCAAAAGCATACAATACACTTCTTGATATTCAGCAGACATTTTCCCCTTAGACGCATGCTCCTGGTATGAAGAAAATCAAGTTAGACACTCCAGAGGAGATTGCAAGATGGAGGGAAGAAAGAAGAAAGTGAGTAAAGAGTTAAGAACTAGTGAAACAATTTTCTTTTACTGTGGCAAGGCTGAGGACTTGAAAATAATGACCGTTCTGGCCCTACGGAACAATTTGAAAAAGGAAATTTCGTCTTTTGTTATTTAAATTTTTGAATTTTATTTTATTTTATTTATTTATTTTTAAAAATATTTAATTTATTTTTTTATACAGCAGGTTCTTATTAGTCATCAATTTTATGCACATCAGTGTATACATGTCAATCCCAGTCACCCAATTCATCACACCACCACCACCACCCCCCCCGTGGCTTTCCCCCCTGGTGTCTATATGTTTGTTCTCTACATCTGTGTCTCAACTTCTGCCCTGCAAACCAGTTCATCTGTACCACTTTTCTAGGTTCCACATACATGCGTTAACATACGGTATTTGTTTTTCTCTTTCTGACTGACTTCACTCTGTATGACAGTCTCTAGATCCATCCACGTCTCAACAAATGACCCGGTTTCGTTCCTTTTTATGGCTGAGTAATATTCCATTGTATATATGTACCACATCTTCTTTATCCATTCCTCTGTCGATGGGCATTTAGGTTGCTTCCATGACCTGGCTATTGTAAATAGTGCTGCAGTAAACATTGGGGTACATGTGTCTTTTTGAATTATGGTTTTCTCTGGGTATATGCCCAGTAGTGGGATTGCTGGATCATATGGTAATTCTATTTTTAGTTTTTTAAGGAGCCTCCATACTGTTCTCCATAGTGGCTGTATCAATTTACATTCCCACCAACAATGCAGGAGGGTTCCCTTTTCTCCACACCCTCTCCAGCATTTGTTGTTTGTGGATTTTCTGATGATGCCCATTCTAACTGGTGTGAGGTGATCCCTCATTGTGGTTTTGATTTGCATTTCTCTAATAATTAGTGATGTTGAGCAACTTTTCATGTGCTTCTTGGCCATCTGTATGTCTTCTTTGGAGAAATGTCTATTTAGGTCTACTCCCCATTTTTGAATTGGGTTGTTTGTTTTTTTAATATTGAGCTGCATGAGCTGTTTATATATTTTGGAGATTAATCCATTGTCCATTGATTCATTTGCAGATATTTTCTCCCATTCTGAGGGTTGTCTTTTTGTCTTGTTTATGGTTTCCTTTGCTGTGCAAAAGCTTTTAAGTTTCATTAGGTCCCATTTGTTTATTTTTGTTTTTATTTCCATGACTCTAGGAGGTGGCTCAAAAAAGATCTTGCTGTGATTTATGTCAAAGAGTGTTCTTCCTATGTTTTCCTCTAAGAGTTTTATAGTGTCTGGTCTTGCATTTAGGTCTCTAATCCATTTTGAGTTTATTTTTGTGTATGGTGTTAGGGAGTGTTCTAATTTCATTCTTTTACATGTAGCTGTCCAGTTTTCCCAGCACCACTTATTGAAGAGACTGTCTTTTCTCCATTGTATATCCTTGCCTCCTTTGTCATAGATTAGTTGACCATAGGTGCGTGGGTTTATCTCTGGGCTTTCTGTCTTGTTCTGTGTTTCTGTTTTTGTGCCAGTACCATATTGTCTTGATTACTGTAGCTTTATAGTATAGTCTGAAGTCAGGGAGTCTGATTCCTCCAGCTCCATTTTTTCCCCTCAACACTTTGGCTATTTGGGGTCTTTTGTGTCTCCATACAAATTTTAAGATTTTTTGTTCTAGTTTTGTAAAAAATACCATTGGTAATTTGATACGGATTGCATTGAATCTGTAGATTGCTTTGGGTAGTACAGTCATTTTCACAATATTGATTCTTCCAATCCAAGAACATGGTATATCTCTCCATCTGTTGGTATAATCTTTAATTTCTTTCATCAGTGTCTTATAGTTTTCTGCATACAGGTCTTTTGTCTCCCTAGGTAGGTTTATTCCTAGGTATTTTATCCATTTTGTTGCAGTGGTAAATGGGAGTGTTTCCTTAATTTCTCTTTCAGATTTTTCATCATTAGTGTACAGGAATGGAAGACATTTCTGTGCATTAATTTTGTGTCCTGCAACTTTACCAAATTCATTGATTAGCTCTAGTAGTTTTCTGGTGGCATATTTACGATTCTCTATGTATAGTATCATGTCATCTGCAAACAGTGAGTTTTACTTCTTCTTTTCCAATTTGTATTCCTTTTATTTCTTTTTCTTCTCTGATTGCCATGGCTAGGACTTCCAAAACTATGTTGAATAATAGTGGTGAGAGTGGACATCCTTGTCTTGTTCCTGATCTTGTTCCTGAGGAAATGCTTTCAGTTTTTCACCATTGAGAATGATGTTTGCTGTGGGTTTGTCACATATGGCCTTTATTATGTTGAGGTAGGTTCCCTCTATGCCCACTTTCTGGAGAGTTTTTATCATAAATGGGTGTTGAATTTTTTCAAAAGCTTTTTCTGCATCTATTGAGATGATCATATGGTTTTTCTTCTTCAATTTTGTTAATATGGTGTAACACATGGATTGATTTGCATATACTGAAGCATCCTTGCATCCCTGGGGTAAATCCCACTTGATGATGGTGTATGATCCTTTTAATGTGTTGTTGGATTCTGTCTGCTAGTATTTTGTTGAGGATTTTTGCATCTATATTCATCAGTGATATTGGTCTGTAATTTTCTTTTTTTGGAGTATCTTTGTCTGGTTTTTGTATCAGGTTGATGGTGGCCTCAAATTATGAGTTTGGGAGTGTTCCTCCCTCTGCTATATTTTGGAAGAGTTTGAGAAGGGTGGGGGATAGCTCTTCTCTAAATGTCTGATAGAATTTGCCTGTGAAGCCATCTGGTCCTGGACTTTTGTTTGTTGGAAGATTTTTAATCACAGTTTCAATTTCATTACTTGTGATTGTTCTGTTCATATTTTCTATTTCTTCCTGGTTCAGTCTTGGAAGGTTATACCTTTCTAAGAATTTGTCCATTTCTTCCAGGTTGTCCATTTATTGGCATAGAGTTGCTTGTAGTGGTCTCTTAGGATGCTTTGTATTTCTGCAGTGTCTGTTGTAACTTCTCCTTTTTCATTTCTAATTTTAATGAGTCCTCTCCCTCTTTTTCTTGATGAGTCTGGCTAATGGTTTATCAATTTCGTTTATCTTCTCAAAGAACCAACTTTTAGTTTTATTGATCTTTGCTACTGTTTTCTTTGTTTCTATTTCATTTATTTCTGCTCTGATCTTTATGACTTCTTTCCTTCTGCTAACTTTGGGTTTTGTTTGTTCTTCTTTCTCTAGTTCCTTTAGGTGTAAGGTTAGATTGTTTATTTGAGATTTTTCTTGTTTCTGGAGGTAGGCTTGTATTGCTATAAACTTTCCTCTTAGAACTGCTTTTGCTGCATCCCATAGGTTTTGGATTGTCGTGTTTTCATTGTCATTTGTCTCTAGGTATTTTTTGATTTCCTCTTTGATTTCTTCAGTGATCTCTTGGTTATTAAGTAGTGTATTGTTTAGCCTCCATGTGTTTGTAATTTTTACATTTTTTTCACTGTAATTGATTTCTAATCTCATAGCGTTGTGGTCTGAAAAGATGCTTGATATGATTTCAATTTTCTTAAATTTACTGAGGCTTGATTTGTGACCCAAGATGTGATCTATCCTGGAGAATGTTCTGTGTGCACTTGAGAAGAAAGTGTAATCTGCTGTTTTTGGAAGGCATGTCCTATAAATATCAATTAAATCTCTCTGGTCTGTTGTGTCATCTAACGCTTGTGTTTCCTTATTAATTTTCTGACTGGATTATCTGTCCATTCGTGTAAGTGAGGTGTTAAAGTCCCCCACTATTACTGTGTTACTCTCGATTTTCTCTTTTATAGCTGTTAGCAGTTGCCTTACGTATTGAGATGCTCCTATGTTGGGTGCATGTATATTTATAATTGTTATATCTTCTTCTTGGAATGATCCCTTGATCATTATGTAGTGTCCTTCCTTGTTTCTTGTAACATTCTTTATTTTAAAATCTATTTTATGTGGTATGAGTATTGCTACTCCAGCTTTCTTTTGATTTCCGTTTGCATGGAATATCTTTTTCCATCCCCTCACTTTCAGTCTGTGTGTCCCTAGGTCTGAAGTGGGTCTCTTGTAGACAGCATATATATGGGTCTTATTTTTGTATCCAGCCTGTGTCTTTTGGTTGGAGCCTGTGTCTTTTTGTTGGAGCATTTAGTCCATTCACGCTTAAGGTAATTATCGATATGTATGTTCCTATGACCATTTTCTTAATTGTTTTGGGTTTGTTTTTGTAGGTCCCTTTTCTTCTCTTGTGTTTCCTGCCTAGAGAAGTTCTTTAGCATTTGTTTTAAAGCTGGTTTGGTGGTCCTGAATTCTCTGAGCTTTTGCTTGTCTGTAAAGGTTTTAATATCTCTGCTGAATCTGAATGAGATCCTTGCTGGGTAGAGTAATCTTGGTTGTAGGTTCTTCCCTTTCATCACTTTAAATGTATCACACCACTCCTTTCTGGCTTGTAGAGTTTCTGCTAAGTCAGCTGTTAACGTTATGCGAGTTCCCTTGTATGTTATTTGTTGTTTTTCCCTTGCCGCTTTCAATAATTTTTCTTTGTCTTTAATTTTTGCCAATTTGATTACTTTGTGTCTTGGCGTGTTTCTCCTTTGATTTATCCTGTATGGGACTCACTGTGCTTCCTGGTCTTGGGTGGCTATTTCCTTTCCCATGTTAGGGAGGTTTTCGACTCTAATTTCTTCAAATATTTCCTCTGGTCCTTTCTCGCTCTCTTCTCCTTCTGGGACCCCTATAATTCGAATGTTGTTGAGTTTAATGTTGTCCCAGTAGTCTCTTAGGCTGTCTTCATTTCTTTTCATTCTTTATTCTGTTCCACAACAGTGAATTACACCATTCTGTCTTCCAGGTCATTTATCCGTTCTTCTGCCTCAGTTATTCTGCTATTGATTCCTTCTAGTGTAGTTTTCATTTCAGTTATTGTAATGTTCATCTCTGTTTGTTTCTTCTTTAATTCTTGGTCTTTGTGAAACATTTCTTGCATCTTCTCAATCTTTGCCTCCAT